GCAAATTGCAGGATATGTAAATTTCAACCGACACAATTTACAAATGTAATTTCAACGCAGTTTTAACAACACACATTCTTCAGAAAGTGGACGTTTAAATTTAATTTTCGAAACGTTCTCACCCCATTTAGTGTTCCTTTCAAATCGTAATTTTTCTTATGGCGCATTTTCTAGACTGTGAATAACCAACCCCTTTGCACGTATTTATAAAAAAATAAAAAATAAAACCATGACAAAATGGAAAGTGTTATTATTACCCTCTTTTGAATACGATTTGAGAAAATTATAATAATATAACTGTATAATATATTATAGGTGCGATTGAGGCGCATTATGAACGTAATAAACTTAAGAATTCAATTCATAATTTATTCACTCTTTTTTTTTTTATTCAATATTGAATTCAGTGGGGAATTAAAAACGCAACTGTCTGTCCAATAATGTGTATATTTTTCGGGAAATAATTTTGAGTAGGCACTCAAAAAATATAAAATATCCTCTTTATAGGTTTAAGATAAAACAAATATCATATGAATTATTATTCTTACATGAATAATTATTTGAAATCATTTTTATTAAATTTATTGAATGGTTATTTTTTTGTTAATTGCTGGAATTAAGAATTATTTATTATTGACTATCTTGAATTCATAATATATTCTTTTATATAAATATTATGTGAAAAGTAAACATTAAAATCTATAAACTATGATTGTTCAGAATTAGTACTATTTAATCAAGATCATACATCACAAGATCATAATCGGAATAAGTCGGTGGTGGCAATTGCAATGAAGTGGGGCTTAACAAAATAATTGTCAATCATTTGGTAAGACACTTAATTTCAGTATATTTAGAGTAACTGAACTGACTATCAGTTTTATAATATGTAACATATATAATATAATAGTAATTAGTGGAATAGTATTTGAAGACCATTTAAGACGCTCATTTTTATTGATTGCGTTTAATTTCAGAATCTAAAACTAATTACACAGAAATCAACACTGTTATATTGATAGTACAATTGTTCGAAGTTTAAAAAAATTGCCATTTACAATCACCATTAAAGATATTTATAAAATGAATTATTTTATAGACACGATATCATTGTATACATAATACAATATAATATATTATTGGTGAGTCGACTAACCAATCGAGGTATATGTACTTTAACAAACTTCCGAAGCTCCTTCCGCAATACCGAAATAATATATATTTTATTACAGCCATAGAGCATCAAAATGAGGGATAATATATAACATCAGAGGGCGGTAAGAGGAGGCTTTCAATACTGGACAGCCAGAAGATTTAACGTAATTTACGTCGTGATCGGATGTATATAGAGAGAAAAAAACAAAAGGCAATGAATGTATATGTGTGTTTGGTGTTTACTGTGTTGAGAGTAACTATACTGTTAACGATGGTTTTGGGCGAGTTCAATCGAAACTCGAAAGAGAAAGTTTTCAACGTTATGTTATGACCACGCGTTCTTTACAGGCACAACGTATAAACAAGATATTTTAGCGCCATGTCGTTTTAGTTTTATTTTCCTATATCCGAATGTTTCTATGATAGTAAATAATCATAGATTGTAGTTCTGGAAAAAGAATCCAATATTAAGTGTTTATATAATATGATACATATATGAACAAATGTTAAAAATAGAATATACTTTAATAATTTAATTTGTTGATAATTATTACTCAACAAAAACCTAACCGTAAAAAACCGCCAAGTCTTTGACCCCCTTCAAACATAGTCTGAATATCAAAGATGTGGTATTTACATTGCGGCCGAGTCTGAACTATTGAATAACTTTAATACACAAATAAATTCATGAGTAACAAATCTCTTATAATTGTACTACTCATCACAAGGCTGTTTCTTCTAATTTTGTCTCTTTGGCGTGGTTGATAACTGAAATATTACAACTGGGACATTTTTCTCTGAAATTATCAAAGTTATAAGCAATAAAATAAAAAAAGAGATTTGTTACATAAGAATGTATTACACAATGTTGTGTATAGGTTATTGATTGAAGAAAGATCAGACTTGGCCGATTTGTAGATATCACTACTTTGAAAGGCAGACTTTTTTTTGAAGGAAGCCTGAGACTTTTTTCATAGTCAGGTTTTTGTTGAATATCATTCCTTTTTACTGGTTTTTGCATACTTATGTTATCTTTTGTATTATGATACACTATGGTTTGTTGGTTTTGTAAAATTTTAGAAATACTCTCCTACATAACCCTCAAGTGTCACTACTTTAAAAACAAATTGAATTTTAGATTTTTCCTTTTTTTTGCACTAGAAGACCTAAATGTTTGCCAAATACCACGTTTATAATTCTATGTAAAGTACCTAATAATTTTGATAATCAGTCAGTCAGTTGGTCAGTAGGTACGCAACAAAATGTATAACACTGAAGTGTTCTCCTTTTGGAAAGGCTTAATATTAAGGGATAAAATTTGTTCAATGTAAGCTCTTTAAGCTTAATCTATATTTCAAGTTTCAAGTTTCAAAAGTCAAGAGTAAGCAGAGGTATGAGGGTTTGAAAAACCAGGAGAAACCTTTCGTGTAAATATACACTAGTATTGCTGGGACTCTCTCGGCGCACTACCATGTGCTCCGATTACCGGACTTCTATTTAATATTTTTTTTATACAACTACACTTTCGGTACCTACCCAAGTAAACCAGTAATTAAAAAATGACGTTTTAGTTTATATTTAAGTCTAAAGGAAAAAGTCATAAATAATAATAATTTTTATTTAATAAATTGAATGCACCCAATTTTTTCAGTTGAAATTAACCGGTGTGTGAAATACACAAATCATTTTGTTATATCTACAAACTAAAATACATATTTTCTACTAATTATTTACCACTCGTTGTGTATACATCAGTTCTAATTAAGTCAGTTATATTTGTCGAAACCTTAAACGTTACTTAGAAGAAGTGATACCATTGTGTCCAATTCAAACGCTGTATCGTGGATTATTCGAATAAAATACAGAGAGGATTAAATTAATGAATTTTATGAAAACGGATGAATTTCAAAAACGATAATTCTGTTGAATTTGTTTCATATAAAAACATTATTGAACTGATATTTACTAGGAAATTAAGCACTTAAAAAGGCGGGAAATTACCATTACTTTATTAGAGCAAATATCCAGTGTTTTTCAGTATTGAGTTGGTCACTGAAATTTGATGTGTTAGTTTGAGTTCAATGACAAATTATTGGATACTAAACATGGTTGTAAGCGGTACAGTCTGTCAACCTATTTGAATATCCATAGTATTATTAAATTTTTAGTAATACAGTATAAATTTTAAATTGGCAATATTATAAAATGGCTAATGTGGAACAGAAGTGGACCCTGTGAAAGAGGAAACTTTTCGGTACTGTAGTAGAGAGACAATTTCTGTACGCTGTTCTGGTCTGGTCGTCTGCAGTAAATACCACGGCCAAAACTAGAACCATTCTAAGGAGGCCACATAGAACTGTCGCACCGAAGTCCATAAGGGCTTATAGGACGGTCTCTGTCGAAGACGCCTTTCTTCCCACTGGCTTGCCAGTTGCCACCAGTTGACCTCGTCGCTTAATAGGCTAGGATGTCTAAGGACCTCCCCCGTCCTGATTCTCAAGGAAGTCGGGGATTGGATTCTATTTTTATTCTATTTATTATATTCCAGTATCATTTTACTTAATGTCAACTAGAGTGCAGACTTTAAATTGTAAATTAAAAAAAAAATAAAACTTAAATAATTACCCTACGCGTATGTCAACTGAAAAAGTTATAAGACTACACCACTATACTATAATTGTATTTATCTGACTAATATATGATAACTTGTCACAAATAAAGTTATTAAACTGAAACGAATAATAAACAAAATTATAACAATGTGCACATCAATATAATACATACATTAAACAGGAACTAGTTAGCATGTTTAATCATTAAACAAATCTTAAGATGGATAATACAAGTTAAAGAGTATTCATTTTTAACCGAAAAAACCGAAAATAATATAATATTTATTTGTCTGTTTGAACTTTGAACGTAGAAAATATTTGAGGAAAAAAAAGCAAGGTACCTTAATCGCCCAGTTTGATAAACGTGTAGACAGCAGACACGTATGAAGAGGGGTGTTTGAAGTAGCACCTCGTTAGTGGGGATTTGTTCAATTCTTTGTCCTAATCCGAGGTCATCATATTACTAAAACATAGCCATTTGCTTGGTGAAAAATGAGCGGGGAAAAAAAATAAACCTGCCAGGTATGACGTCTCAACTGATTTTTTGTTCACTATTTGCATTATATAAAAAAATTTCGTTATAATGCATAATGGGGTTCTCAACAAAATCTGAGATATAATGAGTAGGGACTTTTTTTTCTCTCAGTTGAAATCCTCAACAAAAAATTTACCACATATAGTCAGTTTGCTAATTATTGACTATCTGGGCGACTCTTGATTAATCAATAGTTACTCAAAAATACACGGACATTTTAATTCTACCAAAATGTTACAAATAAAAAAAAAATTACAATATTGAATTATTAGAATATTAGAATATGTACGTCATGATAATTTGCAATCTACGCTTAATGTCGAAAAATAAATCAAACCACTTTCATGGTTCAAAAAATATCAAAAAGTTAAGAACTAATTTTGATGTTAAATCCATTTTATATATTCACAATATTTTTATTATGCGAGTATTTTACAGCTATATCGTATGTAACTAAACGTTCTAAGATATTTTTCATGTATTTTGAATTATTCATTACACGGTTATTCATCCGAAATCGAATATAATTTAAAAAAAGAAATTAAATTTACAGAAGAAGGTAGTTTATAGACGGCGAACGGATCATAATAGTTATTAATTCATTTATAGGCATATTTTAATATTTTTTCCGAAAAATGTACCAGTCCCGTCGCCTTACGAAGTCAATTTTGTTAGATATTAATGTTGGGATAACTTACTATTTGTTTGGCATCTGTCATTTGAGTAGCATCTTTCCACCAGGTGATGATTGGTGGCGGTTTTGCGCCTGTGACTCGGCAACTGACGTTTACAGGTGAATCTGCAGATAGTGGACGATTTTCACCAACCAATTTAATTGATAACGGACGAACTAAAATGAAAGACAAAAAAATCAACATTTATTAAAATATATCAAAAAATATATATTTCAAAAATATGAATAATTAAAATATATTATATCATTTTTTTATTTTGTGGGAAAAAAGTAAAAACCTTCAGTGAAGGTCACTCATCAAAATTTCCAAATTGAATATTATTTTATTATTATTTTATTTTTTTATATTTTATTTTTTTAAATTTAATTTACACATAAGAAAAAACCATACAACGGAGTTTATATTTATCCTTTAATTTATTAAGCAATGCTATGTCGATCGTTCGTTGTTTTTTTTTATAATTTAAAAAAGATTTGTATTTTGTTCTTCACGAAATCGGACTCAAATACAAAATTAAAATGCTTCCTATTAATAGTATTAATTTTCTAATTGCATTTAGGCACGGTGAGTTTTATGTGTAGAATGATAATAATATTACAACATACGTAGTCATTTTAATTTTGAAACACAATTTTTCGATCGCGCTTTACGGGTTAGGTATAACTATTATCATTATTGTGTTATTCGGAACTGAGGTCATAGTATTTGTTGCGTACCTATATGTATTCGCATAACTGTTTTTGGGATAAGCATTGCCGTGGAATTCAGCTGGAAACTAAAAACGAATAAGCCCGTTTTGCATTATACCGCGGGACGTCATTTGCGAGCAAACGGAATAACCGTAAAAGTCGACAATAACGCGCATTACAATTCATAGGCGACGACGTCGATAAACGGAGCATTTCCATATCACTGCTGCAAAGATTATACCGTTGCGCTCGCCATTATCATTTCGTACCATTTTTTTTTCTTTCCAGTATATTCGGAGAAACGGTCCGAGGCAGGGTACAAGCGCGGGCTGTGCAACCGCAGCAAAATAATATAGAAATCAATTCAGCGAGAATATTCACTCGGTGTTCGTATGAATGGCGGTGAATTCACCAAATGCGCTAAATCGCGATGGAATTTCCACCCTAAACTAAACCGCGCGAACCCATAAAATATTATACATACGAGCATATAAACTACACCGGGGACGCACTCTGCACGAGCGCTGACGTAACCATAAAAGTTCACACCGCACCCCCTCGGCCCCAGCCGGGTGTTCCATCACCGTCCGCGTTAAGTCCGGTAAATCGTTGGTCATATTATAGTATTATTATTATTTCTATTGATATCAGTGAGCGAACGATCACGCGCACCGACGACACGATATTGTCACTTGTAATAATACAATAATTCAATGGATCGGTTTTGACGGAAGCCCGTTTCGAAAATGACAAAACTTTTCACTGATCCGATGTTTTGTAGAAACGCATTTAAGGCGAAACTTTTTTTTTTTTTTGAAAGACATCTGTTATAGAATAGGTAAGTATACCCCGAATACAATCGCAAACCATAATAATACATCGTACGGAACGCTTGTACAATAGGTGTATTATTACGTTATTATATCATAATATTGTTATATATTATGTAAATATTGATAGTTTTTGTGAATATTCACAAGTAATAGCGATTGTAGTAAGTATGTATAGTGCGATCAAGTAAGTAGACGGTAAAAAATTAAAACTAAGTTTCGTATAGACGAGTGTAGGATCGATCGAATCAATATCGCCGTGCATATTATACATTTGACGAACGCATTTAATTTACATGTTATTGTTTTCCTTTTTAATGATAATAACACAAGCATTTTCATGGTACCGATATTACTTGAAATACAAATTCTGGTACTCTAACCAGAATATAGTAATAAATAAGAGATTTGAATAAAAAAAAAAATCAATCAAGAACGTTCTCAAGAAATGCAACCACTAACAATAGGTCTAAAAATATATACAGTAATGAATTATTATAAATAACATAATAAGTAATTTGTTAATTTTCACATAACACACGACGTATAACATAAAACTACCCCATCTGAACGCATTACATGCGTAATAAGATTTATTCGTTTCAATATTGTAAATCATAATGTATATATATTATATAATATATTGTACGGCCACATATATATATATATATATAATGTACTCTTTGAAATATATGAACGTGAACATATCATTGTGGTCGAGCAATAAATCTTTGGGAGTCGTAAAAAAAAAAAGTTTTTCGCTCTCAGACGGAAAAAAAATTGTTTCAAATCACTTAAGTGCTCGGGAAAACGTATCGTAACTTACTATGATTTAACGTCCAAACGTAGGATTATAATATCCGTGATAGGTATTATTAACTCCTAAAAATATTGGCCTCCGAGTAAATAAAAATTCCCCGACTTAAAAGGATCCCGACTGTCTGTAAAATATGTGGCGTCTAATAAATAAGAATTTCGTCCTTCTGTTTACAGGGAGGTACGAATAAGCAGGCACCGCCGTGTACATATCGATCGAATTTAACTGATCGAGTGGTCGGTTATATATTTGAACGGACAAATTACCGTTATTATTGTGGGATTTGCGAAATCACTCGACATTATCATTTATCGCACGGTACAATAATATAGGATTGCTGCAATGTTCTATATATATATATATATATATATATTATAATAAAGTAATATATGGCACTGCGGTTTGGCGGTCGGGAAAAATATAAATTGAAAAATGTACTTTCGTGTCGAATCATTATTTGTAATATAATTGTCGACTGTATTAAAACAACCGATGAATTATTGTCGGCGAGTAAACTTAGAAGCATTCGCAATTCTGACTACGTTAAAAAATGATTTTCATTTTTATACAGTTCTCGTAAAAAAAAAAATTAATTTTTAAAAAAAAACATTTCAAAATTATAATGAAAACCAAACAGTGATTTATATTTCAAGCACTTCGCATTATACTGCAATAGACCGAATTAAAAAATATTAATTTCCGGTCACATTATTATTAGCTGAGGGCAGTACCCGTCTCGTCGTACCGAAACGAACAACGGTTGAGGGACTATAAATAAAAACAGAAATTTCACCGCGGGGCTGAAATGAGTGGCTTGTATATACAGAGTAATTGAATATACTTCCGTTTCATTTTTCTCCATCGCTATCTCCCGTGACCATCTTCCCCCCCGTTCCTCCGTCCCGTTAAGTTTTTAATCGGCCCTCGCCCTAAACACGTAATACCTCATTAAAGGTATTATAGTGTTTTTTTCCTACCTATTATCTTTCGTATTTATCTCCAGCGCTGCCGCCTACACACACACACACACACACACACACACACACACACATATATATATAGGTACGGAGAAATCATTCTCGAAGCGACCCGCACATAACTAATAGCCTTTCAAAAGTGAAAAACTTTTCTCGCTCACTTTTAAGGGTAGGTAAACTTTTATAGTTTGTCTACCGGCTCCTCAATCGCCTCCTTCCACCCCTCCTTCCTGTGTGATCTACTCTATGTTCGCCGACCAGCATCCCATTGCACTGCTACTGACATTAGACACGCTTACCTACATGTAATTTTATTATTGTTTTTATCTCGCATTCGTTCCTATAGGCACCATTTTACGGTATAAAAGCGACGCGACTGTGGATAAAGAATTAATTTAATCCTCTGAGGGGCTCCGAGAATCGAGTTTTTTTCCCCGAACAAATTTAAATAATGTAATTTTAATTATTTACATTTTCACCATACCACAACCATTTATTATTAAACATGATAATATTTGTGATTTTAGAGGGCTAAAAGGAAAGAGTAACTTCTGAGAAAGCAAAAAAAAAACATACAGAAGAAAAATTCATAAAAATATTGGTTTATTGAAACACATTGTATCAGACATAATACATACGATTCATAAAAATAATTTTAAATACTATAATTGGCTTGTTATAGCATAATAATAACAACAACAACTGTGCCACCGGATAACTTGATACAATTGAATTCAACATGATTTTTAAAGATAAAAATAGTATAGTAAAGAATTGCGTCAATAATAATAAATATACTCAGCTTAAAAATTCCACTCAAAGTATTAATTCATGTGAAAACTATCTACACCTACTCCATCGAATTTTTAGAGTATAATCACTTCTTACATTATAAACAAGATAAAAAGACAATAAGCAATTATTATAAAGCGAAAATATATGCTTGAATTACCACTGTAAAAATGTATACCATGAAAATCAATAATTCACATATACTAGACATTGGTTTGAATGTACCACTAGTAAGTTATTATAAATGTTCAAGTTGCAAGTATTTTATTCTAGAGGACTTTTAAAATATCATTCGATTCAGTGACCGTAAACGTTCAATAATATCCTTAAAAGGTATTTACATACATATAATGGAGTTTATGGAGCCCTACTGAAGACAACAACAACATAAAAATTCATAACTTAAACAATGTTAATATATTTTAATACAATTCTTAGTAAAAACAAAAAAACAAAAATATAGTCAATAAAACTGAGAAATATTTTTTTATCATTTTTTAAAAGTTAACCTACAATACACAGAGTTTTATCATCTTGGAATGGGAATGAATGGTTTTATACCTGTATTATATCAAAAATGATGAAAGAACTTATATTTTTTTCAAACGAACGCAAGTTTATTTTATATTATTTCACTAGAATGATTGTCGTTATCAGCTATTCTCTAGCCGTTTGAATCAATTGTATTTAACAAACACGACGAAGGATTTCATTTGGCTCAAAACATTTTTAATTATATAATAATACCAAAAATATATCGTTTATTCAAAATTGTTCAGATAGAAAAAACCAACATAATAATTACATTGTTATAATTAATAGCAATTAAATTTCGTAAACAGAAACTTCTTCGTTCGGAAATGATATTACGCGTACATTGTGTATTATAATGTGTTGAAAACAATTAAAAATAAACCCTTAAAATCTTCTAATTAAAGTTTGAGAGAAAAATAAAAATTCTCTATAATTTTCCAAACATAAAAATAAGAAATTCAAGAGTCAAGGCATGCAGATATTCATATTTATTATCATATTCAATTATGTAGGTTA